GGCTTGACGTGTCGGCGACAGATTCATCCTGCACAATATTCGGTGTTCTCTAATTGAAATACTTCACAGCATGCCATGTTGCCGAGAATAAACGGCAAATTGAAAATACGGGTTACATATAGCGAACTTTGTTCAGAGAAGCCACGATGAAAAATTAGGATGTTCTATTTTCCAATTAATTTGAATGAGCTGTATTGTATACAAAATATTGTATATAAACACGACAAGTACACAAAGACTCGATACGTGTACATGGGCATGACACGTACACAAAGACACAATACGTGCACCTGAGCACAACACATACATAAAGGCTCGATATACCAAAGCGTTTAATGGTAATAGAATTTATTGATTTAAATTTTCAGGGTCGAACAATGACATTCCGATGACATTGATTGATCAAAATGCAGGCTTTAAGAAATAATTTCAATTTATTAACGACGTTGCGAATGCGACATTTTGATCAACCAACGCCATCGGAAGAATTGTCCGACCCTGAAAATATAAATCAACGAATTCTATTGTCATTAACCGCCTTAGTTTAAACAAACTAATTATGCCATCTTATATTAATAAAGGCTCGATAATTATACGTAGGCACGTGCACGTAATCACAACACGTACACGGGGTGGTTCCACGACAGGTTGGGACGAGCGACCAGGCTTCTGGACGAGGCTGGAGCCGTCCTGGCCCAGCTCCTGGGCCAGCCGCCGTCCAGCTTCCAGCACCTATAGATGTGTAAACTTTCTTTAAAATCAATTTAAAATAGAATAAAGTCAGTTTAAAATAGAAAAATAAAATAAAATCAGTTTAAAATAGAAATAGAATAAAATCAGTTTAGAATAGAAAAATAGAATAAAATCAGTTTAAAATAGAAANTCGACATAGAATATATTGGTATCAGCAAAAAGAAAATTCCCATGCACTGCGCAACTCTGTCTTCTTTTATACTCTTTCATAACTACGACAAAGCACAAGTCTATATGTCACAATGACACCACAGCAATCACTTCCACTACGAAAATTTCATTTTGGTTGCAGCGCTTCTATTTTCTGTTATTTGCTAATTATAAATAAGAGGCGCGCCTATTGAACTTGACGATGTAGTCTTGCATCGTAGTCAGAGATGCGGCTCTCTTGCCATCTTTTCTGATCAGAAATTCCTTATCACTTTTAAGTGGATTGTCCATGTACGGATTTTCAATGTACGTAAAGGAACATCAAGCCTTAAATTTCAATTAGTAAATTGCATTACACATTAACAGGCTAGCCCAACGTTGCTCGGGAAATGACGTGTTTATCCCATTAAATAATCATAAGATAGATATTTTTAATTAATATAAAATGATACTTTATACCTGCATCATTGCCCCAATAGCGAGCAGGGATGGACTGTGGTTGGGGTTGAAGGTGAGGGCGGCACCAAGCTGTTCGAAGGCCTGCTGTGACCTGCCAGTCTGCAGGAGCAGCCTCCCCAAGCTGCTGTGCAGGTCGCTGTTCTCTGGGAACTGCCTGCACAACGCAAATTACTTCAATCTTGAAGTTCTTAGTATTATTAAAGTGAGTACAAAGTAAAGTTGTAAGTATACAGTGATACTCTGAGAAATTACACTCTGATGAGTGTCATTTATCACGTCGTACTTGTACTGAACTTTAGAAATCTGTACGAGGATTTTGCTTTCATTTTATCAATTTTCGTTATTATTTGCAAATTCGAGTAATATTTTTGTTTGTAGGATATTTTTAGAAGTATTTGAAAAGCTTTGGAGTTTCGCTTTCTATTAACGGCGAGTGGAAGCTTAGTAACAAATGAAACTGAGGAGCAACTAGGCTGAGTCCTCTATGTAGTTTGTTTAAAATAATAATAATAAAAAGTATTTATTCTCATCAAAAATTTCACGGGTATTCTATTTATGCTATGCAGGAAAGATTTTTACAGACATTTACAGGTCTGAAAGACATTTACAGGTATGAAACAGTATAATTATTTATACCAGCTCTACAATCCCGACCATGACAAGTACTGGCCACTAGAATTCTTAAGATTATTAGCCTCACTCGATGGCGGCTCGGTAGGTGGACACGGCGGCGGTCACGTCACTCTGCTGCAGGTAGACGCTGGCGAGGGCTTTGAAGACCTCGTGGTGGCGGTGCAGTTGTAACGCCTGCTGCAGCTCCTGCTTCGCCGCCTCAAGCTGACCCGTGCGCTGGTAACAAATGCCTGCCGAAAGGCGTTACTTTTATAAGAGTTTGTTTTGATTTAAGCAGATGAACATTTGAGTGGCAATAAAAGGTACAGATAAACGAAATTATGTTTTTTTTTAATTTCAAACATCATTAGGAGGAATGCGCTGATTACAAATGCCTGCAGAATGTCATTTCGATAATGAGAGATTACTTCCATTTAAGTAGGAGAACATTTCAGCGGCAATAATAGTCACAGAGAAACGAAAGTGTGGTGAAATTCAAACCTCATTAGGAGAACTGATCCTTTTATTTTAATTTAATTCTTCCTGTAAGAATAGACTTACCAAGATTGTAATTAATCTCCCAGTCAGGTTTTTCGCTATTGTTCCCTGCTTGCTTGTAAGCTTCAATGGCTCTGCTGTGTCGTCCCAAAAGAAATCTGGATAGATTTTTCTACGTTAATCACGTTGAAATTTATGTCTTATTAGCCTGCATAAATGTGTTGGCCCGCTTAAGTGGACAAGAATTAAATATAATCTAAAATAATCTCAAATGGGATACATAAGGACATTTCGTTGAATGAATTAATTTCGGACTGTAGAGCTGCCTAAAGACATTAAAGGAATGCAATCATGAACTAGCCATTTCTTTTGGAACAAAAGTGCTTATACCAGTAGTCAACTTAACAAAACAAGATAAATGAGCCTCACAACATTTATATTATTATTATTCTACGATGCAGTTAACGTGGCGTCTGGTTCAAACGAACTTCGAGGGCACGTTACACCCAAGTTTAATAGCAAGCGAAAAATAAATAGACACGAGAAAGGATGAGAACAAATAAAAATGACCAAGCACTAGATTCATAGGCGCTACGGAAGAGTTCCGTCTTTGGGCGTTGACGAAACACCTGCAACGAAGGAGCCGAAGTTCGAAAGCCGGCAGACTGTTCCAGGTTCTGGCGGCGGCAACCGGGAACGCTCTGTCGCCGACTGTAGATATACATGTAGATGGTACGACGAGGTCCGCTGTTAATAACGAACGCAGGCGTCTTCAGAAGGCAGGTCCGACACGCGCTGCAGGCATTCCGTGTGATAAGGAGGTGCCAGACCATGAAGGCATCGGAACGTCAGAATAGCCTCCTTGAACTTCGTGAGCTGTTGCAAGCGTAGCCAGTGAAGATCGCGCAATATCGGTGAAAAGTGGTAAAATTTTCGCTTTTTTTGCACCCGAGTCTCATAGCAGCGTTCATAACGGATTGCACTTTATGTAGTGCCGTGGCCATAAGTCCATAGAGAGTGGCATTACCGCAGTCCAATCTGGACAGAACGAGCGCCACCACGAAGGTCTCTAGAACTGACGCTACGTATACGTATTTGGCTGACGCTTCGTATTCGTCGCAGAGCGCCAAAACAAGCGGTAATGATTTTGTAAATGTGATTGTTCATAGAAAGTTCCGAGTCCAGAAGAGTGCCAAGGTTTCAAACCAAAGACGCCGACATACGAACTCGTTGCCCACGAGAACATGGGTTGGCCGGATGCGCGGAGCTGATGTCGATGCTGGAAACGGAGCTGATGCTGATGAAGAAGCTGATGCTGGCGCGGAGCAGTCGCAAATCAAATAAAGTCGGTTTTTGATGCAGTGAGCTGGAGCCGGTTGGAGTGTATCCAGTCTGAGACTGCTTCCATGCAGACAGCCATCAAGTCCTGCGATGCTGCAGCGTCAACCGGTGCACAGTAATCATAAATTTGGGTGTTGTCGGGAAACATATACGGATTCAAACTATGTGAATCAATTATGTGCAACACGTCGACAGTATATGACAGAAAGGGGATTGGGCCGAGGACTGATCTCTGAGGTACGCCGCAAGTAACCAACAATGGCATAGAAGAAGAGTTCCAGCGTCGAACGCATTGAAACTATTCCTGAGATAGGACTCGAACCACCGCAGCACTGTGCCGCGCAGGCCAAATGATGCGTCAAGTCGACGCAATAAAGTGGCGTGGTCGACCGTTTCATATGCGGCCGACAGGTCGAGTAAAGCCAATGTCGCAATGCCGCCGCAGTCTACTGCTTGCAGAAAGCACAGCGGTTTCCGTCGAATGGAGATGACGGTATGTAGACTGAAAGCAAAGCACAAGACCGGACCGCTGAAGATAGTCCGGTCTCGATGAAGATAGCTGTCGGGCCATAGTGCTTTCCACGAGTTTCGACGAAATTGACAGGTTGGAGATGGGTCGATATGATTTGGGATCAGAAGCGTTAAAGTCAGTTTATTCAATAAAGGCGTAATGTAAGCTGATTTGAAGTTTTCTGGAAGAACACCGTCAGTGAGGCAGCGGTTGAAAAGTTCAACAAGAAAAGGTGCTAGGGTTACGACATTCCCTTTAATTAAGTAAAGGCGTCGGCAATGGATCGCTGGCACACTGAGCGCGCGCACTGCAGCGATGACATCGTCAGCTGTGAC